ATAGATTGGACATCCGCAAAAACTACTTCACAGTTAGGGCGGCTAGGAGCTGGAACCAACTTCCAAGGGAAGTGGTGCTGGCCCCTACCCTGGGGGTCTTTAAGAAGAGGCTGGATGCCTACCTGGCTGGACTCATTTGAGTCCCGTTTCTTGTTTTGGGGTTTTGTTGTTCTCCCGCCCTGGTGGGGGGTCGGGCTAGAAGATCTACTAGGTCCCTTCCGACCCTAAATCTATGAAACTATGAAACTTGCCATTTTGGGTATTACATTATCAAAAAGGTTAAAAAGTGGATGGAATCCAGCAATAAGCAATAAAAAAGTTCTAAGAAGAAGAGGGAATGAAATCTAAAGATGAATGGATAGATTAATAGATATAGAATGGTGAAAACACAAATATCAGATGAATATAAACATCAAAGAAGAAAAAATATTATTTAGTGTGGTACCTGGGTATGTAGTAGGGCTGTGTGAAGCTTCAGGTGCTGATCAATTCGGAGGAGATACGGCCTGATTTGGTGGCCAAATCTCCAAATCTGAATCAAATCAGGGGACCAATTAAAAGGGCTAAATTGATTTGAAGCTCTCCGAATCAATTTGGAAAAGATTCAGAGAGCTTCAGAGATTTGGGCGGTCCCACTCACTGCAGCAGCGAGCTGGATCTGGACTCCATGCTGATGAGTAGTGGGGGGGGGAGGGCTGAAGGAGTGAGGAGGAGACCATGGGGGGGACCCCTACCAGGCCCCATCCCCTGCCTGCTCTCCCAGCCCCCGCCATGGCTGCCTCACCTGCCCCAGCTCCCCATTGTTTAAAAAAAAGCCCCTACTCACTGGCTGCTGCCAGGCAGGGGGGACCGATCCCTGTGGCCCCCCACTACCCCTCACTGTGTGGGGGGGCTCCGCCACAAGCCCCCCGACCCCCACCCACTGTACCAGCCCCTCCATGGCTGCCCCATTCACCCCAGTTCCCAGCCCTTTAAAAAACCAAAAGAACCCCACTCACTGCAGCTGCAGCAGCTGTCGGGGCTTCTGGGGGCTTGTGACAGAGCCCCCACCACACAGCATGGGCCAGTGGGGGGGGCAGTGGGGATCGCCCCCTGTCTGGCATCAGCCAGTGTGTTGGGGCTTTTTTTTAAAGGGCTGGGAGCTGAGGCAGGCGGGGCAGCCATGTGAGGGCTGGGGTCAGGGGGCTTGTGTCAGAGCCCCCCGTGCAGTGTGGGGCAGTGGGGACAGCAGGGATCGCCCCCACTGCCTGTCAGCAGCTGGTGAGTGGGGGCATTTTTTTTTTTTCTTTCAAAGAGCCAGGAGCTGGGGCAGGCAGGGCTGGTAGAGCAGGTGGGGGGCGGGGGTGATTTGGCTGATTCGGCAGCAGCTGAATCTCCGAAGCAGATTTGGCCGAATTGATTCGGGATACTGATTCAAATCACCGAATCGAATCGCTGCCCTCCAAATCAGATGAATCCGAATCCAAAGCGAATACTAGCTGCTTCACACAGCCTAGTATGTAGGGGCACACTTCAGATATGGAAATAGTATACTGAATATCAGGGAATGCTTCCCTGAGAGCAAGATGAATTTGACTCCTAAAGGCAGCAGTGAACCCCCTGCCCCCATATTTGTGGCTTAAAAAACTACTGTGGACAAAACTTTACCAACTGTAAGGAACAAGGTTGCAGGTCCAGGGAGATGGACAAGATTAGATAATAGTTTTTTTCATTTTTTGTCTTCCGTGATTCTTAAATTAGTGACAAATCCTGTCTATCTTATTTGCCCCACTACTTCAACTGAAGGCACAAGCTCACAGGTTATTAGGACGCACTAGTGGAAATACTTAGGTGAGTTAAGAGAGACAAGGTTTGACTATATATTTTTTACTTCTTTTAGAGCAGCCATTTCTGACAGGCTGGTTCTACATCTGATAATGTGTGAAAAGAAGCTCAACCAATGTTTGATTTTAAATCTTTTTTAAATCCTTCTCTTTTTATAAGTGTCTCTGAAGCATATCCCTAGACTTTGGACAACCAGATCACAATCATATTTTCTATAGGTTGGTTGCTTGGTTTGTTTAGGGGGCGGGTTGTTTTTTGAAGCATTTTGCAGATACACGCACAGCATTCTACAATATGGTTTCAAAAACTTTAAAGAACTGTTATTAAATATTACCAATTCTGCTAGCCACATTTTGCAACTCTTAATAGTTGAAAAGAGCCTTCTTTATTAAGTAGTCTTTGAATAAATGCAGCTCCTTGTGCAGTAAATTACTGTTCAACACGAGTGGCGGAATCAGGCCTTGAGTCTCATAAACTAATTTTTACAGAACCCATTTGATTGGCCCCTGGTACATTTTACACCAGTTTTTCCTAAAGGTTTTTTATTCCATGCAAGTAAAAGTCCTTGCCAATTTTGGTGTTTTTTAAGGGTATTTCAAAGCTGTGATAACTCTTACCGTTGTATAAAGTAGCTTTTTTTTATGGTTTTGCACCCAGAGATGAATTTGGGCCAGTGTGTTCAAAATGTGCAGTTGGTATAGGTGTAATAGCAGTAGCGTTAACAGAAATTTATGAGAATATAGTCTTATGGTAAATGTACTCTGATGGTCCAGTATAATGTAATTTAAGCAATATGTAAGTTGCAAAAGGTAAAAAAAAAAGACCTTTGGCCCATCATCATTTGCTATAAAAATATCACAATTTGAATAAAGGGAAAAGGAGCTTGTGGGGCAGCACTTTACAAACTGACTTTTTAGAAATCTGTTTTTTATGATTACCACCTAAATTAAATAGATAATCAATTAGATCTGTGCTTTATTTGCAGCTCTTTCCAAACACTTTTTTCTCCGAGCACCGCCATTCTACTCAGTATGCTGTGGTGGGTCCTGTCAGCACCCTGCATCCCCCACTGCTTTTCCAAGTAAGTTTTTATGCTTCATCAGTAATGCTTGAGTTACTCTGTAAACCAAAGCAGCAGGATTTAATGTGTTCTGGAAAACTAATTGGTGATGCAATGGCAGCAGCTAATTCCTTAGTAAAATCACAGCAATCCTATTCAAAAGGTTTCCAAAGATTTATCAAACTTAAATACACTGAGCAATTGTGAGAGATTTCTAATGGCATTGAGACACCCAGAGAGAGCTAACCAAGGAAAGCTCCTTGTTTTCACTTTGCTAGAAAAGATCCTTTAAAAATCGGGAGCTCGTTTAAAAATCTGTCCGCAAATGGGGAAAGAAAAGAACTGAAAGATTATAAAATGGATATTGAATATTAATGTTTGCTTGGCATAAATTATGATGCATGCATATTTCTTATTAACATGATTTAACTCACTTATTCTGTTCATAGAAGACAAATTCCTACACATACTTAATTTGATATTTTTAAAATTATACATTGAACTTATAATAATCTTAAAAATATTTATTCTATGTTCAAGGTTATATATTAAGGATTAAAGATCTGGAATAGATTTGCACATAAAGATAACTTAAATTTAACCTGGATCTTGAGATTTGCATGTCATATTGTACAATATTTTAATAAAGAGTTTAGATCCTTATGGCTAAGGATGATAAAAATGAGACAAATTTCTTAGCTCCTCAGAAGTGAGCAAAGAGCCCAGAATGGTGTATTGAGTCCAAATGGAAACTGGTGTTTATACATTCTGAAGCACATACTTCTATCACAGTTGAATTCAAACCATGGCTGAAGATGTGCATGTGTTTTTATGAATGTTTCAGGAGGGCAGTTGCTAAGTCGAATGATTCTTGACAAGTGAGGCAGCAAATGCTGGCAGTTTAATGAGCTGCAAGTTTCTGAACACCTCTTTAGGGGGCTGACACTTTCCCACAGAGCGTTTTACATGGCCAGGACTACATCACAATGGTTGACAGCACCATGACCAATCACCACTTTCACTTTACTCATCCACACGCGACCCCACCACAATTTTTCACTGTGCAGATGAACTTTAGGAACCATTTCACATTGAAAAGGCCTGGGCAAGGGTCAGTTGCCCTTTTGTATGGTCATAAAGCAATGCTCTATGTGCCAGTCTTTTCTCCTGTCTCACATTCCAAGAGAATTTCTGGACACCATTTAAAGCACTTGACTGAAAAATAAGGCAGTGAATGAAACTGACTTTTATAGACTCATTCTAGCTCATCTTCCCATATAACCCTGTCTACCTGAAAAGGGATTTAGTGGATGAGCTGAGTGTATACAGGGACTTGCTGAATACACAGGGCCCATTATCAACTGTGGGGATTGTTTTTTAACCAGGACTGATACACTACTATTTTGGAAGTGACCTATTAATTGTCCATTTAACTAGAATGTATTGAATTCAAATGAAAAAATGGAAACCATGACTAAAGCTTTTACTCGCTCCTTCAAGGTGGTCTCTGCCATGAAGGCAAATGCAGATTGTTCCACAGATTAAGATGACATTTATCACCGTATATTAGGAGACGAAGGAGAGATTAAAAAAAAATCAACCTGCCAAACATTTGGTACCGTATTAGCGTTTATGTCCACATTGTATTAAACCTTTCTGTCTGTTCAGCAGGACAGACAGCCAACTTGTTTCACTTAATTCATTTTGAAATAACTGTTGTAATGTGCGTACAAGTCCTGCCTGATATACCAGAAAAATAGACAGTGTACACTTTTTGATTTTTCACTTGCTTGGTGAGGGTATCCATTTGGCTTATAAAGTGTGAATTTGGCTCTTATGTGCATAAGTTAACACAGAATTCCTAGACCATCCTCCACTTTGAATGTTCATCACTCCTGTTTACTGTTAATTGAAGGAAATTGAGACCAAATTGATCAAACTCAATAGTTTATTAGTTATGTTTGCTATAATGAATCAGTGATGTAAATTATACGTTAGCAGTTCTCAGTCTGTAGTTGTAATGTGGCATTTCAACAGACTGAGCTCAAAACACCTATCTAAAGCTCCAGTCTTTATAAGCCACTCGCTTACAATTTTCCATGCATTTATTGGTATCTTGCAAACCAGTTTCTGTTGGAGTCTTATTTTGTTTTGAACAGTGCATTCCAGACACTCAGCAACATAAACCATCCAGGCCCTGGTGCAGAGTACATGCTTGCTAGGGCATCAGTAGGATCATCTAGCTAATCCTGCATTTCTGTTATACTCCTACTTCTTGCGCCAAGGAATGTCTGATTCTGGTGGTAGCTTAGCAGAAATAAAATGCATGCTGAGAGTTTGGTTCACAATATAGCATAAACAGAAAAAGCCTTATTATATGGGTATATGCATTCATATACTGATCACCTCTAATATTATTGATTAGGACAAAGTTAGTAAGTGCAGACACACTCAGTATGATAGATCAGCACTAATCATTTCATTCAGAATTTGATATGGTGCCTGGCTCTGTCATTTACTGGTGCTTATTTAGATTTCATTGTTAGTTTTTGTTTAGTTACGTTACATCCATCACCATAATGTTCATAATAAGAAAGAAGGTAGAGAAGTGGTCTCCAAACTTTTTAAGGTGAAGATCACTTTTTGAAGTAAATAGCAACTCAGGATCTACTGCCCCCTGCCTCCCACCCAGCAGGTCAGTCTGGGGTGGTGGGAGTGGTGGGAGTGGAGATTGAGGCCCCCATGGTGAGAGAGGGAGTGGGGCAGGGGTGAGTGGGGCTTGGGATGCAAAGCCCAGCCTGCAGCAGCAGCTGCCTCGCCCAGCTCACAAATTGGGGGAGGCATGTGCCCCTGGGCCTCTGCCAGACTGTGTGCAGCAGCCTGAGTCCCCCCCCCCCC